AAAAAAAAATACCTAATTGGGACTTGAACCCACAACTTTCTAGCTTGTAGAATAGTGCCTCAACCAACTATACTACTGCATGTCCCATTAATTCTCTTGTAACAGTTCATAAAACACTTTCTCATGACTTACATACATCTTCTTACTAGGACCTGCCATAATGTTTACTTGAGAGAACTCAAACCCAGGACATCTGTCAACCAGTCATCAACTTCCTGTCACATTTTGAAGTAGCTGGAACATCTTGCAAGCACAACACACAAGTTTCCATTGCTGACTGAAATTATATGTACAGTGGAGTAGTTAGAAACATGTGTGATGTCTGAGGACATTGTGGCTACTATAATAAATTGTACTGCGTGACGTCTGTAGACGTCATAACCACTTGACTGGTTAATAGCATGTCAAGTAATGTTCTCATGTTGTATATAGATGATTAACTTGAAACTGTTTTGCTGCAAGGGATGATATTTCATTAATAGTCGCAGGAAGGTGTTCATGGAAGTCATACGCCATGGGGAGGAACTGGAATGTTGATTGCGTGATATGTTATCTGATTTTTGGTAGTGATAGATATGAAGGTAGGAAGTATCATCTGTGCATTATCACCATGCAGATCATTTTGAGGTAAAAGTCAACAGATGGTTGGTGACAGAAGGCATAAAATATAAAATTTTACTTGTTCAGAAATACCGCATCATATAGATGTATAGGAGGCAAATACGTGAAACTCTGCACATTCTACATCTAGATGAAGTTTAATGGTCAGCTTCATGCCACAGCCATTCTACCCCAGGGAGAATACCTCTGGTGCCTACTGGATGTAAAGTTAAGTATCCTACAGAGGTGGTTGGAACAGGGTGGTGAAAAGAAGCATAAGGTATATAACCTATGAGGATTCACCACAGAATGAAAATTATTTATAGTGAACTGCAAAATCACACCTCTCATTCAGCAAGTACACTGCCATCACTGTTACTTGCATCACAGATTGAGAAGCTCTTAATCAAGACTTTTGGGTAACTCAGTGTGTTTCTGTTTTGGCACTGAATGTGGGCAGTAGTTTTACATGCTGTCTGGTCCATGGAGAGCCTGGTTTCAATATCTGGTGGGTAGTGGGTGCCACACAGTTTGATTCCTGAGATAATACATGTACCAGTCAACACATTTACTATCACACATTCACCATGTGAACTTCTTCACATGGTTGTGAACTTGGGATAAGCATATCTGGCCACTTTCAATTTTCAGTTTATGCTGGTATTGAGTGTAAAGTTCTCAAAATTATATTCACCTCTCTCATCTCTAAATTTGTGTGTAAGTTGGCTTGCACTCTAATTTTGAAATCAGACAAAATGAGAGGAGTTGCGTGGAAATGGATGAACTCACTGGAAGACCTTGAGTATGTTGATTACATACGTCTTCTTTCACGCAGATATGACCATAGACAGACTCCATGGCCTGTAGTCCGCAAGCAAACTGTACCGACCCTGCGACCGCCACTTGTCAGCAAAGTTAGTGCCAACTTTAGTAGATAGAGGATGTTGTGTGGTCAGCACAACAGATCCTCACGGCCGTTAATCTC